TCTCTATATAAGTTGCTGTTTTTGAAACGCTCCTCTCCCATGAAGCCACATACACATATATCGTCAAAATTAATAATTTTAGGATTAATGCGAGGATTGAGAGAGATTATAAGAAGTCCCATCCAGACAAGTTCTTCAAATGTTTACCAGTCTTTGGCTTCATCGAGTTTAGTATCTGATGCTTTTACTTGCTTTCACAGCCTTGGTATTTCAATTAAAAGTTAACTTTCCGATAATCCATCATAGAAAATGGTCAGTTTTGGAATGCCCGTCAGTGACTCTTGGTCAGACGCCAATAGAAGACTCGTAGCTTGACCAGCCTAAAAATATCTGCTACTTCCTTGATGACACTTGATCTGACCGTCACTTGGGTTTCTTCTTGCTTACTGAGTCTGGTGTCTCTTGATTACTCGCTTGCCAAATACTTTGTGAACTTTAATGTTCTCTTACAGAAATTCCATACTGGTCTTGTTTTACAAGTTTATTCAGTTACATGGTCGACTCTTTGACCGTGATTCTCGTGCAAAAAAAGTCTGAGCGCTTCTACCTTGGTCAAGACTTTGTCAAGAGTTATTTAAGCCCTTAGTCTGCAGCTATTGCTGAGTAAGATTAGCTTCCACAAGTATATCAGCCCAAAAATAAAAGTAGCAGAGAAAAGAGAAATCAAACACAGCAGGCTAAAGAGGTTGTGCTTGTACTCGTGTGTCCTAACTTTCAAAAGGTATAACATTGAGCTTCAAAGACCAACTCACTATCACCGAACGTGTCTTTAACTGGTTTTACTGCAGCGTGCTAAGCACTCAAGCGTGACATTGATAGTTTCTCCCTGACAATACATCGTGTTTCATTAAAACAGCTCTTCTATGAGTGGAAGCAGATAAAAAGGAAAACACTCCATCAAGAGCACCAAAACTCTTTACACTTGATGCTTTCTCAGGAACAGAGTGTTGACCACACAAGTTAAGTGTATGATCCACACACCACACAAGTTAAGTTAAGGATCCACACACCACACAAGTTAAGTGAGTGATCCACACACCACACACGTTAAGCTAGTGATCCACACAGCACACAAGTTAAGTGGATAATCCATACACCACACAAGTTAAGTTGATGATCCACACACCACACAAGTTAAGTGGATAATCCATACACCACACAAGTTCAGTGAGTGATCCACACACGTTAAGTTAGTGATCCACACAGCATACAAGTTAAGTGAAGGATCCACACACCACACAAGTTAAGTGGATGATCCACACACCACACAAGTTAAGTGAGTGATCCACACAGCACACAAGTTAAGTGAATGATCCACACACCGCAGAAGTTAAGTGAAGGATCCACACAGCATACAATTTAAGTGAAGGATCCACACACCACACAAGTTAAGTGAATGATCCACACACCCCACACGTTAAGTGAAGGATCCACACACCGCACAAGTTAAGTGAAGGATCCACACACCACACAAGTTAAGTGAAGGATCCACACAGCATACAAGTTAAGTGAAGGATCCACACACCACACAAGTTAAGTAAATGATCCACTCACCCCACAAGTTAAGTGAGTGATCCACACAGCACACAAGCTAAGTGAATAATCCACACACCACACAAGTTAAGTGAGTGATCCACACACCCCACACGTTAAGCGAGTGATTCACACACCACACAAGTTAAGTGAATGATCCACACACCATACACGTTAATTGAGTGATCCACACAGCATACAAGTTAAGTGAAGTATCTACACATTCATTAAAAAGCCTCCTTCATATTTCTGTTCAGTAGGACTTGTACACAACCATGAATTCCATATTTGTGTTCCTGAAGAGGGTTATGCATTTGGACATTTATTGGTCCAGCCTCACTCCCTTTATAAATGTGTGCCCTGTCCCATTTGAGCTCCTTCCCGCAGATGTGTAGAAGTATTTCCTCTTTAGGGGCATTCTTCTCATTAAACCGCTACAGGAATACCTCAAGTGTTGGCAGCATGCTAGAAACACTAGGCTGGTCACCATTGGAGAAACGACGACGTCAATCCAGGCTCTCCATGATGTACAAGATAAATAATGGGCTGGTCCACTGTTCCAGTATTAAACAGAAACTCGTCCCTCTCCCCCATAGACAGCGACGAGGCCATGACAGGCAATTCAGGCTCATACCAGCAAGAAGCCAGTATATGAGCTGCTCATTCCTGCCCAAGACAATCAGGGACTGGAACAATCTTTCAAAAGGAACGGTTGAAGCGACAACACTAGACACATTTGTGTCTATTGCCTCAAGCCTTCAAACCCCTAGTGCATGATTTCCTCATCAACACCAGTAATAGAAACATTGCAAATCCCATCTACATGCATAGGAGCCAAAATGATCAATAAATTGATCGTGGGCCCTTAAGATATAGAAGAAGAAGAAGTACATAAGACTTCTTATCATACACCACCATTTTACACTTTTCAGCATTGGTTTCTATTCGCTTGAGATCCTTCTGCTGCTTGCTCAGCGGTTGATGTGTTTGCCAGAGCTCTAGATAACTAGATAATCTGCGAACATGACATTTTTCGTTACCAATTTTTGCTGTAGATCATGCACATACGCCTGTCAGGGACAGAGTGCAGCTCAAGGTGGATCCCTGTGGGAGTCCTTCCTTAGGTGCTCTGTTCGATACCTTGTTCCCGACTCTCGTGGATATAGTGCCGTCCAGGGACGTGCTGACACATGGAAACCCGTGACGAACGGTGTAGTAAGAAAGGCCCGGAGGCCGCCCCCCACACACACACACAAACCGGAGATTGTAATAACTGCCCAAAAAAAGGCCCATGATGAATGCTCGTCGCGTCGTCGTGGGCCAGCACGTCCCTGGTGCGATCTGATAGAAACTCATGTCTCCACTTTTGCATGTTAGCAGCGACACAAAACTGCAGAAATGTGTATATCAAACCTACCATTGAGACCTGTCGTATGTTTGTTGGAGGTTGTCAAACCTACCATTGAGACCTGTCGTATGTTTGTTGGAGGTTGTCAAACCTACCATTGAGACCTGTCGTATGTTTGTTGGAGGTTGTTAAACCTACCATTGAGACCTGTCGTATGTTTGTTGGAGGTTGTTAAATACCGCCACAGCATCCACTTTTTTTCTCTGTAGCTCATTGGTGATAGTGTGGATAAACTGTAATACTGGATTTTACCTTGGTTTGTCGGAATGCCTTTGATATGTTCAAAGAACAAATGTATCCTAGCGTTTACTATCCCTTTCGGTACATTTCCCAAAATGAGAGAAATTGACCGATAGTTTGACGATAATCTGCCCTGTTTGCCATCTTTGGGCATTGGAACAATCATAACCCCCCCCCAACCCCCCACCCGTTTTCACGCTATCGGCAGGATGCCTGACGTCTAAGTTTTATTGATAAGGTCTAGAAGGGTCTGTCCTGTCTCGCTGTACTGCCCAGATGCGTCAGCATCTCATTGCAGACTCTGTCAGGCCCTGGTGCTTTTCCTGTCTTGCTAGAGCCATTTTGCAATTCGGTGATTGTAAAGGGGGCTGTGAAAACCTCATTATGTGGGACCATTCTTTCGGCACATGTTCCGAGTTCTCACCTTTTGGAAGTGTTGATGGCCCGGCTTTCTTCAGTGAGATGGCTGTCTTGCTTACCTCGCAACAGCTAGCAACTGTGCTGACGGCTGTTTTTATTTTGAGTGTGTGTTTTTAAGGTTTACCCATGCCAGAGAGATCGTTAAGCAATCACCAGACTTTTCTTCCGTCCGAAAGGTTGAGCTTTTCACAAGCACAAACCCACTTAGACATTTTTAGCTTTAAGGATCTCTTCCCAGACTTATTCCGCCAACCGACTGTGTGTCGCTCAAGCTGCGGCCGTTTTCTTTTCGGTGGCCTTCCTTCATGCTTGTGCCATTTTGTTTTTAAACTAACGCTTCAAAATTTTAGTTTGATTTCCGAGTATTCACGGTATGACTTGCCTGGCCAACTCTAGAATCTTGTCAATGAAGACTTCTCCATATTTATGTCTTCTGGTGTTTGGACTTAAACCGCAGCCAGCGTTGTTACAGTTTCATACTTAGATGCAGACATACTGAAATATTACATTAGGAAATTGCTTCAGCGGGCCGTCAAGCCCAAATTTCTTTATGCCCTCCCCAAAGCCCGAGTATTGGGCCGCGAAGCGGCACGTTGGAGATCTCCCTTTGCGAGACCAGCCCCCACCCGCGTCCGCTCGATCGGGTTCACCAATGGGGGCGCCCGTGACCCAAGGACATCCAGTCGGCCGGACGCTGCTTGCACAGTACCAATGACCGTTTTTTCCAGGGGGTGGAATGGTATATTTACATCCTAATATCTTCCCATCCCAGACGTCCTCTAATAGGGATTTCTACAGTGGGTTTCTACCTCGCAACTAATTTATTAAGCAGCTGAGACGAAACTGTTTCCTAAGAACAGCTTCCTCAACGCTGTGTAAATAGAATGATCGGCCAAACTTTATAAACAAACAAAAAAATTATAAATAGGTAAATACAAATAATTTGAAAATGTAACACAATAAATACGTTCTAAGGCCATTAACATACATTCTGTTGTTTGTTTGTTTTTTTTATCATAAGACCAGAAGGTCTTACTCGCCTACTCACAAAAACCTTTAAAATCCAAATGACCCCCACCCCCTTTTTATTTGTTTGTGAATTGACATACGGAAATACGTCCTCTAGTTTTCAATATAATATTACATAACGGTATTATTAGTATTTAAATTATTGAATGCATGAACATAATACAGCAACGCGTATATACTATTTTCTTGTTTAATATCAGAGTAATGTCCCCTGTGTTATGGATCAAAGTATGCCCCGGAAGTAAATGCCGCCGTTTCAACAACAAATCGTGATCATGGGGGTAAGTCTCTAAATTTGTCTTAAAATATGTTTTGGGTTTTAATTAATTTAAAACACATATTTGATATAAGGTGCGCCTTGTTTTTTTCAGGTTAACGAGCAAATTCAGTACGTTAGAGAAAACTTTGAGAAGAAATATGCCGGTAAGTTAATAACTACTCAGTGTTATGGTTGAAACTATGTTAATTTTATTTTAGTTTTTATGGACGTGGCTTCAGTACAATTTAATTTTATTTAGTTTTAGTTTTGAGTACGTAAGTTAGTTAGGTAAATTATTAGAAAACGTCCCTCGTTGGCCGCCATCTTGGTTGACACAACCAGTTAATTTTGTCACTAATGTATCCCTAAATCGATCCCTATGCCTAACCTGAACCCTAAATTGATGCCTATGCCTAACCTGAACCCTTATTCACTGCAACTGTAAAAAACATGCAAATGACGTCACGGGGTGAAAACTAAGAATCAGCCGCTAGTTAATATTTAGTGTCGGAGTCGAATTTTTTACTTTTTATTAAAATTATTCACACTTGATATCACTGGGCTTAGTTGCCTATTTTTAATGGTGAGTGAGAGTGAAATTAAAGAAAACAGGATGCGATAAATTAGTTTATTTAGTTTAAAGGAAATAATTAGCACAAGGTAAAGGAAAACCTGAATAAATGAACAAAAAACCAACAGATTTTTCTGCAAAAAGCCTTAGACTTATTCAAAATAAAACAAAAACAAGTGAATGCAAAACAAAGTCGTCGTGGGCTGCTAAATCTGAAATAGCCAAAAAAAACAACTATAATTTATTGTCCATACAGTATAATAACTTAGGCTTAGACTCTAGGCTCATCTAAACTATATCATAATGCTGTGAACTGTGCACCCAATCTAGCTTTCAAGGAAATAATTCAGACATGGATATTAATAATGGAAATTTAAAATTTAAGCATAGAATTAGGCCTGTTTCAACTAGTAACATATTACTGTATTACTTGTTACTAACAAAATATTTATATTAAATTAAAAGATGTAATTTTTTAATAGATAACATTGCCAGTGGTTTGTATGATTCTCGTGATTTGGACAGACTTCGGAGAGACTCAGTTTATGTTCGCACATTTATTAGAGGAAATGATCGGCTTGATGAAGGAGTTGACCTTGTTCATTCATCTTTCAAATTTCGAAAGGAGGTTAAAGCCCATGGTAAAAATTTAATTTGCCAATGCACTTTCTGCATTTGATAATAAATGTAGTTTGATTATTATTTTGAATGATAAATTTTGCAGTTAACTTTTGTTTGAACTTAAATTTCATTGCTAAAAAAGATCTTTTTGTAAAAAATATGATATTATTAAAATTAAATTTATAAAACGACTTTCATTCCTAACATGCATTTACCTTATCAGATTTATGTGAAGAGTCCTTCGACAAAGAGCTTTTTGAGCTTGGGGGCATGTACTTTCATAAAAAAGATATTAATGGACAGCGAATAAGTGAGTCTTTTTATATTTAATTCATTTTTTAAAATACATGTTTGAGTTCATTAAAATTTCATTGTAAGATTTTACTTTTTTTCCAAAAAATTCTCCAAGTTGCGAAATATACTTTCTGGCTTTTAAACTTTTAAAAGAGAATTTCCTATGGGTTAAAGTTTTCAGAGCTAACCCATTGTACATAAGGAAACCCAATAATTTTTGCACAGCTTATTACCAACTGTATTCTTTTATGAATGTTGATCATGGATTTCATGCTTCATTACATAGTGTGGTTGCGAGTGAAATTGCATAGAAAAGATGCCTCAGCTGAGCGACTGGCAACTGAAAAGCTGGCTCTTATTTTTGCTATGGAAAAGGCATTCAATGAAGACCCTCTGTCACGTATTGTAGTACTTTTGGATATGTCATCCTGTGGTCTTGCCAATTTGGTGAGTAAAGAAAGAAAATAAACTTTGTGTTTGGGAAGAAACTAAATTGCATCATATCTTTCTGATGCCCAAATCCTTTAGCATCTTTTGTATTTGATCCAAGTATAATTCTCATGTGTCACTTCATAGCCCAAATTTATTTTTTTTAAAAAATTTAAATAAATGATTTTAAAGAATAAATAACGCAGCAATTTTGGGGTGTCACTAGTGCCTGTGATGCCACCAGTTACAACCTATGCTTAACAACAAATGCATGATGGTATTTTATACTTTACTAATACGAAATTAAAATGACAATGAAGTTCATTCATTATTTGTCTGGAATGATAAGTTTGACCACAGATTAGGGGTAAAAAAAATATTTATGGACATTATGTGACTAGCTAGATAATTCATGCCATATTTTTCTCATGGCAGGACATAGACTTTGTCAAATACATAATCTCCTGTTTCAAGTTTTACTACCCAACATTTTTAGGTAAGCTAGATTTTTATCATTTGGGAATACTATTTTGTCATATCATACCTTTTATTCATTTTGTCCTATCATACCTTTTATTCATTTTGTCATATCATACCTTTTATTCATTTTGTCTTATCATACCTTTTATTCATTTTGTCCTATCATACCTTTTATTCATTTTGTCCTATCATACCTTTTATTCATTTTGTCCTATCATACCTTTTATTCATTTTGTCCTATCATACCTTTTATTCATTTTGTCCTATCATACCTTTTATTCATTTTGTCCTATTATACCTTTTATTCATTTTGTCCTATTATACCTTTTATTCATTTTTATTATGCATGAAACTTTTTATAAGTAAAAAGAGTTCTTTAACATTTTAATCATTTTTTTAAAACATTAACCTTTGATTTGTTAATTCACATTTTTAATGAAATATATTTATTGTATTCCCTTATTTATTTTTACACAGCATATATGCTCATCTATGACATGCCATGGATATTTAATGGTGAGTAAATTGTGAGGTGTTGGGATTAAATCTTTCTATGGTTGAACACTACATCATATCTTAAACAGTCTGGTTAATATTGCATACTCTGTAGGTTTATTAATTTTTTTATAGACATGTTTCACTCCTTTTAATGTGTTTGTTCAATTAAAAGAAGACACTAACATTTTTTTTCCTCTCTGTTAAATAATATCCGTGAAATTAATTCTTTTTTTCAATTTCTTTTATTAAACAATTATGTTATGCTATGATTGACTCATAAATATTTCAATAAAAACTCACCACTGTGTGTTCTCCTCATGAAAGTCTGTTTAAATCTCTATTCAGCCGCCTGGAGAGTGATAAAAGCTTGGCTAAATGCTGAGGCAGCAGCCAAGATTAAATTTGTGACAAAGGCAGATGTACAAAACTACATTAAGGCAGAGGACTTGCCGCCATACATGGGAGGGACTGTAAGCTCACTCTATCAAAATAGTTACACATATTCAAGTTTATATAAAGTCTAATCCACATTTTCGGCATGTATAAAAACAAAGTCATAATTTCTCAAGCAGTTTCATAGTTTAGACATGTAGCACAGGGGTGCCACTTTTCCGGGTTATCCCGGAATTCCGGATTCGTGAGTCTAAATATTTTTCAGTTCCGGTTTCGCAAGTTTTTATATTCTCTCTTTCCAGATTCGCCAGTTCAATTTATTCAAATACGGATTCTGTCTGGGTTTTTTTTTTCAAATTTAACAGAATTCGCGAAAAACCGGGAAAATTCCTTGAAAATGGATGTTAATCGCCGATCTCGTCTATTTTTAGCCTTTCTGTTGTCAGAGAGCTAGTGGTTTCCCCTCCCGCATGTGCTTTGAGCTTTACACTGCTCGTTTCCAGTACCGTACTACTTCGATAGACCAGAAATAATTATTTTCTGTTCACGTCGCCGATCAAGAGATATTTGAAATGTTTGGGAAAGCAAAGTGTAAAATTTAGTAAACATCTTTTAAATTTAGTTTTTAATTGTTGGGTAGCCATTATCATAAATAGAAAACTACTCGTCCAAGCGCTGTTTTATATAACAGGCGAAATGTATGCAGGCGAAATGTATTTTTTTTATTAGAAGAGCTAGGCGGCGTTTAACTTTTTTTTAAAGACTTCTTAAGTTAACTTTACATTTAATTACAGAGTAAGCCTTCTAATTTTAAATAGGCTTATATGATTAAGTTATTTTTATCCATTCTGTAGTGAGCCTGACATAACTGTATTTAGTGAGTCTTTATTTATTAGTTATGCACGCCTGTGTTCTGACTCTGGGTATACTTTAGTCTTTACAATTTACAGTAATTCCACTATTACTAATTATTCATAATGCTCTGTATTGCTGTAGTGCCGTAGTTTAGTACTGGTATAATATGGTCTATATTATTATTATGTATGCCTTACTATAAATTATAAATCTAATATGATATTATATTTTATTTTGTTTCAATATTCAGGATCTAGGCTAAATAAAATAATGTAATGCCCAACAGTTCCTTTAACTTTAAAGAACTGATGGGTATTGCAGTTAGCCTACAGTCTACAGCAATGGGCAATCATGATTGAATAAGTCATCAATGAATACTAAGCTGGAAATATTGATATGAAGTATTCAAGGGGAGAATTTCTGAGTCAATCATCTGATGATACCAGCTTTATGACCTATCTTAGGTGTCCACTTGTGTAACTTCTCAATTTATGAAATTTATGTGTCAAACTATGAAACTCTCACACTTGGGAGATTTTATAGACACTAATCACTAAAGTGTGTTGACTCAAACTATCCATTTTTATCATTAAAGAAGTGAACATGAACTCCATATAAGAAAATATGCTTTCCACTGTGGTAGCTATACGTTTGTTCAAAAATGCCCAGAGAACACATTGCAAACGTTGACTATTCAAGTCTAAGTAAATTGAAAAATTGCTATTGCTAGGAAATTTAATAAATATTTACATGTATACACCTTAATTGTTTAATTTTGTTCATTTGTGATGTATCTCAATGTTTTATTTGAAAATTTCATGCTGGTTTTTATATATATAACAAAAACGCAGCATTGGGATAATCAGGAATTTTGAGTTTCATTAAGTTTCAGGGATTGAAAAATTTGTAAATGAAGTTTCAGGTTTCAAGACATTTTTAGAAAGAGATTTCAGGTTTCACAGCTTTCAGTGAGTGGCACCCCTGATGTAGGGTTCACAGCTTTCAGTGAGTGGCACCCCTGATGTAGGGTTCACAGCTTTCAGTGAGTGGCACCCCTGATGTAGGGTTCACAGCTTTCAGTGAGTGGCACCCCTGATTTAGGGTTCACAGCTTTCAGTGAGTGACACCCCTGATGTAGCATATGAAGTCCTTGAACATTCACATAACATCAAAAGATTTAATGTTAATTTTGACAGTACAGAATTTTCAAAAGAAAACTTTGACATTTAGAAATTTTTTGAAAGGAAAGAAAAAGAAAAAACCCAGATTATTTCTTCATGACCTACCTTCCTCCATGATTTCAATGCTCTTTTCAACACACCTATGTGGGTCTGTGGTAGAATGACTGATGGCAGCTGGTCAGCTATACAGCAGTATTGAAGTTCTTGTTAAAGCCCAGCTTGAACTTACTCACTCAAAACCCAAACCCTTCATTGTGTAATAAACAAGATTTAATCGCATTTGAGTGAGATGGGGAAATCACATGCTAGATCAGCCCTATGTGGAACCAGGCAGCCTAGTGACATGGAACTCACATTATTTTTCACTGGAAACAAACTCAAAACATTTGGATCCCAGTACATGGAATAATTGTCTTCCACAAAACTGGACCCAGGTATCAAAAAAAGTTTGGGGCAGCTGGGTTAGAAGAACAAGACACTTCTTTGCAAAACCTCTGAGAGAAGACTTGGTGAAAACTGGCCTGAAGATTTGACACGGCATCTTCCCCTTGGGGAAGGTTGGCAGGGTTGGTTATGCGAGCGTGAGTTACAGTTAAACAATTCTATCCATCCGTACTGTGGCCCCCAAAGCTGTCATAGCCGGATGAGTGAAGATGAGCTGTGTTGTGACGGTTTAAGGTTTTGTTCTTTACCTCGGAGCAAAGTTTATGGCACAGAAGGGATCCCAAGGGGCGGGACCTAAACATTGATTCCAGAATTTGGCACAGGATTTCTTTTTCTCAACATGAGGTCATATCACTTGAGTGAAAGAAATAGATATCAAGTTTTGGAAAACTAAGATTTGCGGTAGTTGTTCATCTACTCCTATTCATCCAGTCTTTGCATTCCACACCTTTTACAGGACAGTTTTGAGTTTGTGTTCAAGCCTGGGATGTGCAGCGAGCCACTCTATCCCGAAGATGAGAAGAAAAATGATAAAAAGGTGAGAATTAACAAAATACTTGTCCGATAATTGTTTGGATGTTCTTGTTAGGTGTGAGAATGTACTTTTTGTCATGATACATTTCAAATAAGATATTAGCTTAGATAATTTCTGTAAAGCTTCTCCAGTGAAGTAAGAACAAGTATAGTTTCAGGAATATATTTAATTGGCTCTCCTAACATGGTAAAGTATGCTTGCCAATCTCAGGCTGGTGCAAAGCTGTGGCTTATTTAAAGCGGCGGTTCTCAACCTGTGGGTCACGCCCCCCTTGGGGTTCGAACTACCCTTTCCCATTGGTGGCCTAAGACCATCTGAAAACATATAATAATAATAATAAAGTTTATTGGAATAAAATTAATGCTTCATTCCCAAAGGCTCGAAGTGCAATACAAAAGCAACCACATTCAAAAGAGAAATGAAACAATCTATATTTTACCACATTGAAACACAAAACGCAACACTACAAAAACTACAAAGGAGCATACCCATTCAAAGTCTTTCATCCCTTGCAACCATAAACAACACAAGCCAATATACATCTAGGACAGTGTTTCTCAACCTTCCTAATGCTGTGACCCTTTAATACAGTTCCTCATGTAGTGGCGACCCCCCAACCACAAAATTATTTTTGTTGCTACTTCATAACTGGAGAGCATATGCATTTTAGGATGATCTTAGGCGACCCTTGGAAAAAGGTCATTGGACCCCCAAAGGGGTCGCGACCCACAGGTTGATAAATGCTGATCTAGGAGATAATAGCTAGCTGGAAAAGATGGTAGACAACATCACCCCAGCAGCTGTTTGCGAAATAGATGTGTTTTCAAATCGGTTTTGAAGGATTCCAGTGTCTGGCTGTTTCTAAGAGCCATTACGGGATGAACAGAGTTGTCTCGTGGGTTCATAAGGCGTCATGAGCGCTTTGAGATAGGATGACGCCAGGTCATGCAAGCAGCGGTAGCACAGAGTTGCAATTTTGTACTCAATGCGAGCACGGACCGGCAGCCAATGCAACTCTCTCAGAAGTGTTTTAGCATGGTCGAGTTTGTGAAGAACAATACGAGCCGCATTATTCTGTGCTTTTTGAATTTTATCCAGGAGTGTAGCTGGAAGACCCACAACCACAATAAGAGCATTGCAGTAGTCCATGCATGATAGCACGAATGTAGACATCAGCCTCTTTGATGCATCAAACTTTAAGAAAGGTCTGATATGACTAATCCTGCGCATAGTTAGTGTTCTGTCTAAGTAGACACCCAGGTTTCCCACTGTTTGAGCAAACTAAATCTGCACATCTGAGAGAGTAAGGGATGGGGTGTTATTTACAGATTTTAGCTTTTGAGCAGTAGCAATGGGGATCAGCTTGGTCTTTTTATCATTCATTTGAGCTTGTTCATAGTCATCCAGTGCTTAACTGACTCCACAGTCTTCTGTGTCATACTAAGAAGCTGAGGAAACTGAGATTGGATCACGGATTGCTGAAGTTAGGTATCGTCCACGAACATGTGTTATAGCATGTCAAACTGCTTGATCACTGCACCCAGGGGCTGAATGTACATAGTAAAAAGCATCGGGCCTAGGGACTGGAACAACTGTCCCTGGGGTACTCCGAATTTGATAATAGATTGCTTTGAGGTCAGGCCGTTTGCGATAGCAGATTGGACCCCATTTTTCTGTTACAAGCGGAACCATCTCAGGATGGTATCGGTGAACCCAAACGTTTTTTGCCGACGTTGGAGAAGTATGCCGTGGTCAAGCGTATTGAACATTGCGATCGATTAAGTAATGACAAAAGGGATACCTGGCCCTCACCACAAGACGACAGCAGGTCATTTACGACACACAACAGTGCTGTCTCTGTAGAGTGATGCACCCTGTATGCTGACTTGAAAGGCTCAAACAAGTCACACTGAGAGAGGGGATCCAGGAGCTGCGAGAGAACGGCTTTCTCTAAAATTTTGGATAGAAATGGTAGATTAGAAACGGGGCAATAATTTTCCAACACATTTGGGTCGAGATTTGCCTTCTTTAGCAGTGGAGTTACAAACGCCTCTTTAAAAGGGGATGGAACAATAACAGTTTTCAAAGACTGATTTATGATACTAGTTATGATAGGGACTATTTCATCCAAACATTCGCACAACAGCACTGCCGGAAGAGGGTCGAGCAAACATGACTTTCTTGGGGAGTCAACCAGGATTCAGAGCCTCTGACAGCTTGCCTATGGCAATGTTATTTGGCAAAGATGTGTCCTTCTGTTTAACTGTCAGCTGACCCACAGTACGAATAAGTCCCTACTTTAGCTGCAATCTACAATCTGGTGACTGATATACAGTCCTAGCTGCAAGGACCAACTTCTTAGTTCGTTCCTAGTGATCAACAAAGGTTTGTCGGTGCGCGGTCAAGCCAGACTTCCGCCATTTGCTTTCTGTACGTCGCTGCTTCTGCTTCACGTCCTTTATTTCGGGTGTAAGCCATGGGGTGGAAGGGTGGTACGCAAGGCGCCGTGTGGACAGTGGTGCGTTTTTGTCTAAAATGACTCCAGGCCACTTTTGCAGTCGGTCGCAGGGTCTTCTTCACTGCACCTGAGGGCGGCGACGTCACATCTTAAGGCCACTAGATCTATCTTTAGGAGGTCACTGGATGTGACTGTGCGCAGAAGGCGCCCTGGCTTCCTGAAGACAAAATCAAAGGTTACTGGGAAATGATCTACAGTTATGAAGTAGCAACGAAAATAATTTTGTGGCTGGGGATCGCCACAACATGATGAACTGTATTAAAGGGTAGCAGCATTAGGAAGGTTGAGAATCACTGATTTAAAGGTTGGACTAACCAAACTCAGACCTCTATTATTACTCATTAAAGATACTTTCAGTGCAGGGTCCTTTATAAATACTTTTCTGTCAACAAATGTGTAAATTATACATGATAGAATAAATTTTATGATCTGAGTGCTCAGTACTTTGTTTTTAAAAAATGTAGAGTGCGTGATGAGGCAAGTTTAAAAAAAAAAATTCTTTGTTGTCTGTCATCAGGTACATTTTCAGGAAGCTCAGGAGGAAGCGAAGGTGTTAACCCAGGCACACGCTTCCCCAGACCTCTTCGACCACAACTCAAACTCATCCAACGTTCTACGCCATCGGACAAGCAATCACAACAACAACGCTGGTGAATCGAGGGTAAGACCCCTGGTTTGAATGTCGTGGCTGTTTGAACGAGATCAGGGGAGAAGAGATTAAAGAATAATAAAACTCTTGAATGTTGGTGCTTATGGGAAAATGTACACTTTTGTTGTGTGTGCAGCAGGTACTGGTGAAATGTTGTGGTACATGATTGTGTGCTTGCAGAGGAAAAGCTTGTAGTTAAAAACATTACCATGCGACATAAAACTTTAACCTAAGCCAAAGTTCTGCCTTAATGTTTAAAGCTCACTGTTTCAAAAGAAGAGAAATTCTGTTATTCAAAGTTGACATTTGATAATGAAGTATGTGTGTGTATTTGCCCAAAGTCTTGCTGCAGGCTTACTTAATGCCAGTGATTAGAATATTCATAATAATCCAATCCCTTTCTCATTATATATTCAAGAATGACTTAATATTATATGAATATATGCACATACCATAAATAAATAATGGGAGCTGATGAAAGTTGATGAACAAAGAGTGCAGATTTTACATAAGTTATAGTAAGGAAAATTCATAGCAAAAGGAAGTTGGTACCTCTTACCCCCCCTGGTCACCTCCCCCCCCCTGGTCACCTCCCCCCCCTGGTCACCTCCCCCCCCTGGTCCCCTCCCCCCCCCCCCACATACTTTTTTTTTTTCAAAGTGCATATTCATGGGAAGGTCACAAGGCTCTTTCCAATATTTGATTTTTTTACAGGATATCAAAGGAAACTAAAATGTTTTACAGATTATTTAGTTTCCATGGCTATCCTTACTATCGGGACATCCTTAATCCACACACACTTTTTTTTTTCTCCTTCAAAGCAACCCATGTGCTATCATCACGAGTTATTTGAGTGAAAATCCCTTTCCTATGATCATGTGGCCAGATATAAAGTTCTTGGTAATGTCTAGTAATCCCCCCCTGTAACGTCTATTTATTTCCCTTTTCAGTTTCCCCTGCAAGGTTTTGCTACTCCAGGCATCATCTATATAAGGTTTCAGCACTTCCGAATGTTGCTAGTGAAATCATTTTAATCTTGATATTCAAATAACTAATAATCAGAGTTTTGATATGAAATTCATTTCAACTTTATCCCATGTTAATCTGTTGAGTATAAATTCAACAAATCAATGGACATTTCTATTCATGCACATATGCCCTACTGCTAGCCTTTTTGTTAATTGTAGTTTTTAATATATATACAGTGGAAAATTGTGGGAATGTTAAAAATAGTTCATGTTATACGTATATGCCAACCTGTGGAATAGCAAAAACCTGTACAAAATGTCCCTCCACCAAAAAAAACAAGCAGGTACATAAGCATAAAAGCCTGTAAACAATAAATGAAAAGTCAAAATAATTATCATATGTCATTTTTAGAACTTTTTTTTTCCAACTAATTGAAAGTGTGGGGCTAGCAACATCCTTGTATCAAAATTTTTTTAGCATCACATGTTTGCAGAATCTTTAGAAATTTGGGAAGTAAAGAAATAATAGATGGACAATGTTAACAGTTCTAATTTCACATAAAACATTGTTATGAAATCTATTTCCACTGTATATGTCTATACAGTAAAATATTCTACATGTTTTAAGTAGCAAGCTTTAGTTTTAAGAGAAAAAAAATGCGTTCTTTGCATTCGGCAATTTCTATTTAAAAATTTTATTGACAGTTTTGCTGTTTTCCTAATTTTTTAATTTTTTTTCTTTTACGCTGTTACAAATTTGTAGATATTTCTGAGTGACTAACTGATGCAGTATTTTTAGTAAAAATAAAAATCCACTTAAAGAAATGTCTGGTCAAAAGCAGTCTTGAGATAAGAACTGATTAAAAAAAAAACTGAAGTAACATTATTTTGCTCTAACGTAACTTACTAATCAATAATGGCTCACATCTGTATTATCTATATAATAATCTATATTTTTTTTTCCTGGCACATTTTTTAATGTGTCACACCTATTTGATCTCAGATCTCAATAAACATTACAATACTAAGGTCACATTTAGAGTAGAATATTAAAAAAAACATTTTTTGTCAAAATGTTTATTTCATTAGTTTTTATGCAAAAAAAAAGTAGTTAAAATTTCGGAGCAGATATTAACAAAACAAAAATAAAAGTAAATGTAAAAATGCATAAAAATATATTTACAACCAGTCTTATTGAGTCGTAAACTAACAAATTACTTATGTAATTTAACTTCATTCTGTACCAACTGTCCAAAGCTTTTAACCAGCAATGAAAGTACAATTCTGGCATGGAAAGAAGGCCACTGCATTTCCTAATTAATTATGTTGATCTCTTTTTGTTCACTTTTCGTGTTTAAAATTTTGTTGTGTTTTTTTTCCTGTGTTCCTATTGCAGCGCTCATTAGTTCTTGGGAGGTCCCCATTCTTAGCTTCATCTAGTACCTATGTTGGACGGCTGTTGACAGTGAGGTTGGTGCACTTTAAACAGCATTGATCCACGGGCGGTCTAATTGAGTCAGCACCTGTCACGAAACTCATCTGAATATGATATCCAGAAGGGCTTGTGGCAATGCCTCTTTATCAGTATTAATTAAGCCACTGGGAGCTCAAAGGGCATAGAACAATGTGACCTTCTTTTCATTTCAAATTTCAATATTGCTAAAACAAATTCATTTTGACCAGATTAACACAGTGGTTCTTAAACTGGGTTCGATCGAACCCCGTCAGTCTCAGGGGTTCGGTGGAGATCCAAAAAAAAAATCAGACAAAAAAAATCATATTTTATTTTTCCTATTAAGAAGGGTTTGGTGAATGCGTATATGAAACTGGTGGGGATCGATACCTCTTAAAGGGTTAAGAACCACTGGTTTAACATCAAATATTGGCTTTTATTTATGGGGGCTTTGCCAATTTATTTTTCAACTAACATACTTTAGTAAACTCTGCAAATGTCTTCTTGTACACATTGAGCTATTTCCTTCAGTTATATTAACTTACTCAATTTAAGTTTTTAAAAAAACTTTAGTTATTAAAGGAAGCAATTTATTTCAGGAATTTAACATTACACAAATGGATCATTATTTAATTATTTTTTTGTTTAAATACTGAAGTAATATAAAATTTCTATGAAACTTATAATAAGGGGAAAGAGATCAGTAACATTACATAAACAATTTTGTACTCGCTATGATTCTCTGTGTCACACATTTGTGTTAACATGATTACTTTACACAGTCTCTAATTGTTAAAAAAATAATAATAATATTTTCATGTACTTATCTAGATGATTTGTGATGTATCAGATGCAGAGAATAATTAATTTCTTTTTAAAAAAAACTAACTATTTTAATTAAAAAAATTGTACTGAGCACTGCATGATTGGAAAAATGACAAGATGAACGGTTTGTTGTATCCTCAGTCCTGCGGATGAGCTGGTCTTTCAACCAGGGGACACTGGGGATTCCTTTGATGTTATCACCATGACAAATACACTGCCTGTTCCCGTAGCATTTAAGGTAATTGCGGGAGGGGGGAGATATGGGCAAGGACAGATTAGACATCTGGGTATGTTTTTCAAAGACTGATATCCAAGAGACTTATATCAAACATATTTCTTTTGTAGTTAATTCAAGTACCAGGAGAAGCAGAGTCATACTCATTAAGACAACTTATAAATAGCATAGTCAGTACTTGTCATTAAGTTGGATGTAAATTTGTAAAGGATATTGAAACAAAATATTGAATTCAGTTGGGATAGTGATTTGGGTTTGTTGAACCCATCATACAAATAGTGAGTTTAATTTGTTGGATCTGTTGTACAAATAGTGAGTTCAATTTGTTGGATCTGATGTACAAATAGTGAGTTCAATTTGTTGGATCTTTTGTACAAATAGTGAGTTCAATTTGTGGATCTGTTGTACAAATAGTGAGTTCAATTTGTTGGATCTGTTGTACAAATAGTGAGTTCAATTTTTTTGGATCTGTTGTACAAATAGTGAGTTCAATTTGTTGGTTCTGTTGTAGGGTTATTTATATGAATTTACTGATTATACAACTTGAATATACACTAGCAAGTGAAATTTTAAGGCGGGAAAGATAAAAATTTAAGTGTTAGTCATAATTTTCTTTTTCCCCTTATCAGGTAAAGACAACATCTCCAGAAAAGTTTCGAGTACGACCCAGTGCAGGAATCATTGCACCAGAGAAAAAAGAGGAAGTGTATGTCTACCTTGTACCTGGTGCGTTTTTCAATACAAAACCACAACTTACATTACCTGTCAAACAGGTTGTCTCTGAATCTTTGCCATAAGGTCAAGCAAATGTGGCATAACATAAAGCTCCACTGATGCAAGTAGCTTATTTATTTTCTGCCACAACAGAGTGAACAGATTTTAAAAAATTACCATTATAAAGTTGTTGAAAAAGGTAGACATTAGAATTTCACCCTGAACAGACGTGTTGTTCAACCAAGTCTACTAGTGCCCCCTCACTCTGTAGTTTTTTTATTTAATTTTGTCTAACCTGACCTTTTGATGCCCCACAAGGCATTTAGTGGGACAGGGCAGCAATTATCAAGTTGAAAATCAATCATTTTTTAAAAGTAGTCTTGGCCAAGCTTACTTGTACTTCATTCAATCACACATCTACCCATCTAGAGTCTCTTACACTCATCAGTATAAAAATCAGATACTTGTCAGGATTAACATCTCAGAGTTAAAAATAATCAGGGTACGTCTGTCACAAAATAAGACCTAGTTACCATAGAACTCCAAAAAAAAATTGTGCAATATTGTGTCAAAATCATGCAATAGAGTATCTTAATAGTAAATAAATAAACATACAGTTTATAGAATGTATGCAATAACTACTCGCATCTAGTTAATATGGCATTTGAAAAAAAATGCTAACTTCCAAAAGCATATGACTGACGTTAATATTGCAATCTGCAGTCCCTTTGTTTTGCAGAGATGTATCCGCTTATAGTTATCAATTAATATTGGGGTGAATGTGTAAATCACATTATCATTGTCTGTCACTGGTAAAAATAAGGTTACTGTTGAACTTAAGGGAGTTCCTAATTAATCGGGGCCTCAGACAAGGAGACTCACTATCATGTATCCTGTTATTATTATGCTAGAAAAAGTTATTAGAAGCCTACACGTGAGCATCAGTGGAACCATAACAAACTACTTCCAGAGAGGTATTACAGAACAACGACCATCAGGAACCTTAAATAGCCAACCATTGCAGTACCTGGCATATGCAGATGATATAGCACTACTGGGTAGAAACCGTAATGACTTAATTAAAGCATTCAAGGAATTTGAAAAATCCTCAATCAAAGCTAGTCTTGATATAAATGAACCGAAGACAAAATATATGATAATGTCAAGAAACTCCCATTCTGATGATAACATCAATATAAACAACCACAATTTGAGAGAGTGGCTAAATTCAAATATCTAGGGGAAACTGTACACGAGCACAATGAGATAACGTCAGAGGTGAAAGAAAGGATAACAGCAGGCAACCGTTCCTATTTCAGCCTACAAAAGCTACTGGGAAGCAAAAACCTCTCAAGGGGAACAAAGAAGACAATATACACCACCATCATAAGACCTGTAGTAACATATGCTAGTGAGACTTGGACCCTTACCAGAAAAACAGAGAACCGGCTCAAAACATGGGAGAGGAAAATCCTACGGGAAATATACGGCCCAGTGATAGAAAATGATATCTAGAGAAACCGTACAAACCAAGAACTTTACCATTTGTACAAAGACCCACCCATAGTCACAATGATAAAACAAGGCAGACTACGCTGGGCAGGACATGTTGAAAGGATGCTGGAATGTAGAGCGGGAAAAGTTATATACAGGCAGAAGCCTAGGGGCAGACAACTCACCGGTCGCCCAAGGCTGAGATGGATCGATGATGTGAAGATGGATATACACCAGTTGGGGGTTCGCGCATGGAGGCGGAAAGCCATGAATCGCTCCGAATGGAAAGATGTGGTGGAGCAGGCAAGGGCCCTACATGGGTTTTTGCGCCACTGATGATGATGTAAATCACATTATCACAGTCTGTCACTGGTAAAAATAAGGTTACTGTTGAAATTTAACGTGGCTCAACTCGAGGTCAGCTCAGCATAAAATAAAATTTCTTGAAGTAACAATAAATTAACAAATGAGGATGTCATTTACAAAATTAACCATGTAACTTGAGATAATAATAAAAAAATGAGAATCAATTTCCATTAAACCTATAGTCTGATAACTACCGCAGGCTGTAATCTGTACATGGGTGAAATGAAGAGGGGTGTTTGGACCAAAGGTGGGTATTATACAACTGTTTTGTTTGATCTAAAAATAGATTTCAAAGGCCTTCTCAGATCCCATAAAATATGTAAAACTCTAATGTTACTGTGTGGACCAGTTGAGAGTGCATTCTCTTCTTTTTTTTTCTTTTTTTAACAATAGTTTTCTCCGCTTTTTCTGTTGCAGATGTGAGGGCGGATATAACCAAAGAGAAATTTCTCATCATGGCCATGGAGACGACCCCTGGTAATGCAACTGATCCTATAACCATGTTCAAGGATGCCCCTAAAGACGCTGTCATGCAACACAAGTAGGTTGTTAGTTATTACTGATGGGGCCGGGAATTTTTCGGTGGAATTATGGCGATGGTGACTCATGCAAAAGTAGGTCATAAAGTATTATTATTTATTTTTATTTTTTTATTTGAGGGGGTGGGGGTGGGTAGTTTAATCCAACCAATGCTGTGGTCATTCAAACCAACGCTGTGGTCAATCCAACCAATGCTGTGGTCATTCAAACCAACGCTGTGGTCAATCCAACCAATGCTGTGGTCATTCATGAAGAAAAATTAGTACTTATATGGAGTAGGGTCTCGGGGTGGGAGATGGATATTGTAATCAAGGCTATGTATGGCCTTAAAGGGAATATTTGCAGAGAGCCTTTCTTCTGTCCCCCTATCTGTTGTGCAGGGACCAAATAACTCTTCACTAGCACTACCAAATAGAATAACTCTTGAATAGCACTACCAAATAGCATAACTCTTGAGTAGCACTACCTAAATAGAATAACTCTTGAATAGCACCAACAATTAACATAACTCTTGAATAGCACTACCAAATAGAATAACTCTTGAATAGCACCAACAATTAACATAACTCTTGAATAGCACTACCAAATAGCATAACTCTTGAATAGCACTACCAAATAACATAACTCTGGAATAGCACTAAAATTTAACATAACTCTTGAATAGCACTACCAAATAGCATAACTCTTGAGTAGCACTACCTAAATAGAATAACTCTTGAATAGCACTACCAAATAGAATAACTCTAGAATAGCACCAACAATTAACATAACTCTTGAATAGCACCAACAATTAACATAACTCTTGAATAGCACCAAATATTAACATAACTCTTGAATAGCACTAAAAATTAACAAAACTCTTGAATAGCACTAAAAATTAACAAAACTCTTGAATAGCACTAAAAATTAACATAACTCTTGAATAGCACTAAAAATTAACAAAACTCTTGAAAAGCACTAAAAATTAACAAAACTCTTGAAAAGCACTAAAAATTAACATAACTCTTGAATAGCACTAAAAATTAACATAACTCTTGAATAGCACACTGTATGTTTATTGGGATTAGGAATCGGGATCTTTAGTAAAGACTTGCCTAATTTTTGAATCCTCAGGTTGAAGTGTTCCCAGACAGGAGCACCGGTGGGTCCACCAGCAGGAGCAGTACGGCCATCTGGTGGTCAAGACACGCTGGCGTCCAAGGTTGGTACCTTCATAATTAGAGACTGTATTTGTTGGACTGGTGGTGATCCTCCTGCTGTAACACATCTTTGTAGATTTTGGTCTCTTTAGTGTGCCATTTCTCTCTGCCCAGTGAACCTTTTCTGATCTGAAACTTGTCCTCAGTGTCTGCCAGTGCCGTCAGTGTCTGCCAGTGCCTATTGGTATGAAGCCAACTTTTCCTCTTGTGTGACTTGTTTCCCCCGTTATGTAGCACACATTCCCCGTGCGAAAACTTTGCTTGACCTAAATTAGATCCCTAGCAGACGGTAGCGTTTGTTGTGGGCGTGGTTTAAATTCTCTTTGATGTATCTTGTTTACAACCACTGCCAATTACACATTGGGTAGTATGTCTCCTGGTATCTTGTCGAATCTTCTCGATAACCCGAGGAATGTAAACAACACGTCATAATTCTCTTCTGGAAGCGTCTTACGCTACATGTATATAAGGGATTGACAGAGACAGAGATTCAGATAGACAGTTTTAACTTCACGAGACGTGTATTATTCTTTGTGCGTTTATATGTGTTTATTCAACATTGATCATTCATCATTATTCATTGGCACATTGTACTAACTGTGTTAACTGTGTACCGGTACAAGATATACCATACTGTAAGTTGATGATTTGTAATTATATTTATTTTATTTTATAATTGTATTAGTACTAAATTAAATCTTATTAATTGTAATTGGTACTGTTTTAGGTGTCGTATTTTTGTTAATGTATTTCTCTATGGTATCATCCTTTTGTTATGCACTGTTTTGAACGAGCCATAAATTTAAAATAGGAGATTAATTTCTCACAATAGAAGCCAGTGCGTAACAATTGGGGTAGCTCGTCCTCGATAACTGAATCGATATTATTATTTTTCTTAAGTCCCCAATTTTAACAATTGTGGGTTCTTCCGGGGATAACTGAATCCATATTATTATTTCTCCCAAGTCCCTGAATACTATAATCCACATTTATTTCTTAAAAGTCGCCAATTTTAACAAAATGTGGGAGTGTCCTTTGATATTTGAATCCATAAATTTTAATACACCAATAATACATCGAGTATTCCTCTGTGGATTTTGGCCCACTGTTTACTTTAATTTAATCAAACTAAATTTGAGTACATGATACCATTTTACGATACCAACAACAGAGCTAGTTACAATTTTCTTTAAATTCAATTAAATTAGTGTGTTCACTAAGCTTAAATTTTTATAAAACTTATTGTTATATTTTGCCTGTGACAAAATGGATTTTGATGTTGAAAACCCATCAGTAGAGGCATTAGACAAAGGTTCTAGGAAGGAGCTATTTTCCATTGCTAAAGATTTAGGAATAAATGTAGCTCATTCGGCAGTAAAAAAGACCGTACGAGATCTGATCATTGTCCACTTAGTGGATGAGGATGTGTTATCTGAGGACGAACTGACCTCAGTGACACAACCGCATGATCCTAGTATGGAACTCCAACTGAAGCTCAAACATCCGGAGCTAGATAAAGAACGAGAGCTTAAACAGCTGGAGCTAGATAAAGATAGGGAGCTCAAACAAATGGAGCTAAATGCTCAGAGAGAGAAATGAAAAAGAACGAGAGCTTAGACAATTGGAGCTAAATGTTCAAAGAGAGAGAGATGAAAAAGAATAAGAGCTTAACAAATGGAGCCAGAGCTCCAAATTAAATTAAAAGAAATGGAAATAACGGCCAATTTGGGAGCAATGGAAAATAGACTCACAGCTCCAGCCGGTCAGGGTTGCAATGCAATAAAATTTGCAAAAGTAATCCCGAAATATACGGAAAAAGAGGTGGACCAATATTTTGCACAGTTTGAAATAACTGCCCAAAATTGTAAAATTCCTGAAACTTTGACCGGAAGGGCAGCCGAAGTCTTTGTGTCTTTAAACAGCGCGGGGACTATAACCTAGTAAAATCCTTAATACTTAAGGCTTATGAATGTGTCCCCGAAGCCTACCGTAAAAAGTTTAAGGAGCTGTGGAAATGTGATGGTCAGACTCATGTTGAGTTCCTCCGGGAAAAACGAACGACTCTTGGACAAGTGGCTGCACGCAACCAACACCGATGCAGACTTCAAAAAGTTTAAGAACCTCATTCTGATGGAGGAGTTCAAGAATTGTGTTTGTACAGAGGTGCAAATACATATTGCAGACCGTGGCGAAGGTGACGCACATAATGCAGCAGTTTTAGCTGACGACTTCACCATCTCACATCAACTTTCAAAGAACCCATCTGATACCAAAAAAGACAGGCACAATAAGACAGCTGCATCCACTTACAGTAAACCTCCACAAAAATCATACAAGCATGGTACAAAAGAAACAAGTGCAAAAGACACATGTGCTTACATGTGCGCACTTTCGCATTTGCTGGTCCAACAATTTGGAACGCCCTTCCTGTCGATCTTAGAAACAACCAGACACTGGATTCCTTTAAAACAGATCTAAAGACACATCTATTTCGCAAATACCTTCTGGGATGATTGTCTACCTTATTTTCCATGTGTTGCTGTGTTGCTCCGGGTTGAAATGGCTAGAAAGACTTTGATATTGTATGCTTGTAATTAGTTTTTGTAGTGTTGTGTTTGTTTTAAATGTGGTAAATTATAGATATGTTTTTTGTTGACTTTGTACAGCGCTTCGAGCCTTTGGGGATGAAGCGTGTTTTTTTAAATGAACTTTATTATTATTATTATTATTATTACTGTAAAAAAGAAGGACATACAAGGGATGAGTGCTGGAAACTCAAGAAGAAAACTGAGAAGACCACACATCCTGGTACACAACGCAAAGTCTCCGCTTGTACGTCTCATCATAATCTGGAAACACATTTTCAAAATTCTAAAGATTTTGCTCTCCAGATGTCCATAAAAACTTCAAAGAGGTTTGTCATGACTCATCAAAGAGTTCCATTATGAGCAATAAGGCTAGTTTCACAGACTCTAGCCAAGTTCCTACTGCGACTTCGAGTTTTATGAGCTTGTCGCCAAGATCCTTTTGCTCCAAGAAGAGGTCAACCTCCAGAGGGCGTCTTACTGAGGACTTGTGTGCAAGCTTTGACGACTCTACCCAGAGTTTTACTTCCTCTACCCTAGCCGAATGTTCTCAAGACTCCAACAAGAGTTTACCTACCAAGGTCCAAAATTCTACATCAGAAACTACTGATGTCATACAAGACTTCATGCCTTTCATATCGGAAGGATTCATATCACTGACAGGTGATTTTTCCAGTCTACGACCAATCAAAATCTTACGAGATACAGATGCTTCACAGTCCTTGCTAGTTGAGGGTATAGTTCCTTTGTCTGAATCTACTGCCACTGGGAGCAACATCCTGTTACGAGGTGTAGAGCTGGGATGCATAGATGTACCTTTACATCTCATCAACCTCAAATCAGACTTAGTCTCCGGACCTGTGGTTGTGGGTGTCCAACCAACATTACCAGTGGACGGCATCTCGTTGCTGCTAGGCAATGACTTAGCTGGTGGTAAGGTAATAGCCGAACCCATCGTTACTCATGAATCTTGTTTCACTGAAATTCAGGAAGAAGATCAAGAATTGTATCCAGCATGTGCTGTGACAAGGGCCATGACTTCTAAGATCTCCAAAGAAGAGATGTCACAAAAATGCAATAAAATCCATCCTGAAATTGACCTGGGGAAAAAAATTTTTGCCAGTCTAAACAAAGAGGCAATTAATCACAAGACTCCAACTCGAATGCAACTTATTGAAGAGCAGAAAAGTGATCCAGAAATATTCAAACTTCGAGAGAACGCTTTGACCCAAGAAGAAGCTGAACAATTCCCTGTATGTTACTAGATTCAAGATGACAAACTTATGAGAAAATGGCTACCTCCAGACGCAAATGCTGACGAAGAATAGAGAATAGTTCATCAGATAGTAGTTCCAACACCATTCCGGAACGAAATCCTGAACCTAGCCCATGATTCACCACTTTCAGGCAATTTGGGAGTAAAGAAGACATATCACAAAATCATGTCACACTTCTTTTGGCCAAAAATCAAGAAAGATGTGGTTGAATACTGCAGATCATGTCATACTTGTCAAGTGGTAGGGAAACCAAATCAGAAGATACCAGCAGCTCCTCTTCAACCCATTCCAGCGTTCGAAGAACTTTGCAGTCGCGTGATTAAAGACTGCGTTGGACCTCTGCCAAAGACAAAATCAGGTCACCAATACTTGCTGACAATCATGTGTGCAGCAACAAGGTTCCCAGAAGCTATTCTTCTTCGCAATATGAAGACTCCAAACATCGTCAAAGCCTTGACGAAGTTTTTTTTACATTGTTTGGTCTTCCAAAGTCGGTACAATCTGATCAAAGAACCAACTTCAAGGCTAGACTATTCAAACAAGTGATGAACCAATTGGGCATAGAACACTGCTTGTCGAGTGCATATCATCCTGAGTCACAGGGAGCACTTGAGCGATTCCATCAGACGTTGAAGAACATGATGAGAACGTACTGCCTAGAACAAGAGAAAGACTGGGATGAAGGCATCAACATGCTACTGTTCGCCGCAAGAGAAGCAGTTCAAGAATCACTTGGATACAGCCCCTTCGAACTGGTGTTTGGCCACACGGTCGCGGTCCCCTTAAACTTTTAAAAGACACGTGGATGTCATCGACACCCACGGAAGGACTTCTTGACCATGTCCTAAAATTTAAAACTAAACATTTTAATGCCGTTAATTTGGCTAAATTACATTTAAAAAATTCTCAATGTAAAATGAAAGTTTGGTATGACAAAAAGTCAAAATTCTTACAGTTTGCTTCAGGGGACAAAGTGCTTGTGCTTTTGCCGATACCAGGGCAGGCACTACAAGCTAGATATTTTGGTCCTTATGTTGTTGAGTCCAAAATCAATGATTTAAATTACATTGTGTTAACACCAGATCGTAAAAGAAAGAAACAGTTATGTCACATTAATATGTTAAAAGACTATGTTGATAGAAAATGTGATGATCATTCTCCATCCTCAGAACCTAATGTTAACACAATCTCAACTGTAACTTCAGTACTTAAAGAAAAGGTTACTGAAACCTTTGATAGTGTCCAAGATAAAGTTGGTAATTACAAACTTAAAAATTCAGAAATATTGGCCAACTTGGATAAGAAACTAGGACATTTGTCATTGTCAGAGAAGGATGTTGTTAAGTCTGTTAATGCAGATTTTTTTTTTACTCTTCCCTGATGTCCCTAATAAAACCAACATTGCTGTAGATGATATTGACACTGGCAATGCAGTTCCGGTCAAGCAACACCCCTATAGGGTCAATCCGGAAAAACTTGAAATAATCTGGTCTGAAATAAAATACATGCTTGAAAATGATATCGTTGAACCAAGCTCTAGTAACTGGAGTTCACCTTGTATTTTAGTCCCAAAGCCTGACAAAAGTTACAGGTTTTACACTGACTTCAGGAAAGTGAATTCATTTACGAAGACTGATTTCTTTCCGATTCCAAGAATAGATGAGCTTATAGATCGAATAGGCGATGCCAAATATGTAACCAAGATAGACCTACTATCAGGTTATTGGCAGGTTCCTCTATCTGACAGAGCAAAAGAAATCTCTGCTTTTTGTACTCCAGATGGTTTATACCAATATAAAGTAATGACATTCGGAATGAAAAATGCCCCGGCTACATTCCAACGTCTAGTCTATAACATTATTGCTGACCAGGAAAATTGCAGCGGCTATATTGATGATGTAATTATTTACAGTCAAGATTTTTCAACTCATGTAAACCAATTAAGGTCTCTGTTTAAAAATTGTTTGCAGGCAAATGTAACTGTGAATTTAAATAAATGTGAATTTTGTCATGCAACTGTAGAATATTTAGGTCACATAGTGGGTCAAGGTCATGTAAAGCCTGTTCCAGCTAAGATAAATGCTATTGTATCACGTCCACCACCCACTACTAGAAAACAGTTAATGAGATTTTTGGGAATGGCAGGTTACTATAGAAAATTTTGCAAAAAATTTCTCAGTTATTGCTTCTCCCTTAAGAAGCATTCGAAAACAATAAAAATATATTAGCTAATGCTCCTGTTCTAATTGCGCCAGACGTTAACAAACAATTTAAATTAGCTGTAGATGCCAGTGAAGTTGGCATTGGTGCAGTTCTTTTTCAAGAAGATGACCACGGTGTAGATCATCCTGTCTCTTATTTGTCAAAGAAATTTAACTCATATCAGAAAAACTATTCCACAGTAGAAAAAGAATGTTTAGGTTTAATTCTTGCTCTCCAACAATTTGATTTTTATGTCAGTTATTCTTTACTTTCAGTACTGTATTTTACTGATCACAATCCTTTAACATTTTTGAATAAGATGGTCTCCAAAAATCAAATATTGTTAAGATGGAGCCTATTCTTACAAGAATGTAATTTGGACATCAAATATATTAAAGGCAAAGATAATGTCATTGCAGATACTTTGTCCAGAAATTAATTTTCACTGAACATAAAACTTATGTTATTGTTTATAAGCTGTTAAGAAGCTTTTTGTCTGATATTTTGAAAGGAAGAAATGTACTTTCTGTAATTTTTAATGGAAAAAGAATTCCATTTATGAAAAAGGAAATTTTTTTTCTTTTAAGAAGGGAGGTGTTATGTAGCACACATTCCCCGTGCGTGAACTTTGCTTCACCTAAATTAGATCCCTAGCAGACGGTAGCGTTTGTTGTGGGCGTGGTTTAAATTCTCTTTGATGTATCTTGTTCACAACCACTGTCAATTACACATTGGGTAATATGTCTCCTGGTATCTTGTCGAATCTTCTCGATAACCCGAGAAATGTAAACAACACGTCATAATTATTTTCTGGAAGCGTCTTACGCTACATGTATATAAGGGATTGACAGATACAGAGAGACAGAGATTCAGATAGATAGCTTTAACTTCACGAGATGTGTATTATTCTTTGTGTATTTATATGTGTTTATTCAATAGTTTTAACTTCACGAGATGTGTATTATTCTTTGTGTATTTATATGTGTTTATTCAACATTCATCATTATTCATTGGCACATTGTACTAACTGTGTTAACTGTGTACCGGTACAAGATATATCATACTGTATGTTGATGATTTGTAATTATGTTTCTTTTATTTTATAATTGTATTAGTACTAAATTAAATCTTATTAATTGTAATTGGTACTGTTTTAGGTGTCGTATTTTTGTAAATGTATTTCTCTATAGTATCATCCTTTTGTTATGCACTGTTTTGAATAGCCATAAATTTAAAATAGGAGATTAATTTCTCACATTAGAAGCCAGTGCGTAACACCCCTAAGTCAGGTCGCGCCCCCCCCCCATATTTTTATATGTATCTCTTCTCCCTCCAATGTTATATATCACACCTTCCTTCAAAGTCCTTGATTTTCTAATTTTTTCCCTTGAGTCTGTTTATTTTGGCCCTAACCACATCTTTAGCTGATGTTTGCTTATGGTTAAACCTGTAGCTTGCAGACTCCAAATTATTGTAACAACTTGATATTAGTCTAGATTAGAGACCGACCAAATTTTGGTTTCGGTTTCAGCGCCGAAAGTAGCCATTTTATCACTTTCGGACAAGTTTCGGTGTCGGCCGAAACTGAAAGTTAACTATCGGCTTAATTTCGGTTTCGGACGAAATTGACTTAGACTTTCGGCCATCTGGCGGAAAGTGACTCAGGTTTTCGGTCCTTTAATACTCAGCGAAAGCGATATTTAACAACAAACTAAGTGACATTTAAGAACAAATTAAGCGATCTTTGGGAACAAACTAAACGATATTTAACAACAAACTAAGCAACCTTTAAGAACAAACTAAGCAACCTTTAAAACAAACTATGCGATCTTTTAGAACAATCTAAGCGATCTTTAAGAACAAACTATAAGATTTTTAAGACCTAACTAAATGATCTTTAAGAACAAAACAAATGATCTTTAATAGTTAACTAAATGATTTATAAGAATAAACTAAGCGATCTTTTACAGAAAACTAAATGTTCTTTAGGAACAAACTAAAAGATCTTTAGGAACAAACTAATCGATCTTAATCAATTATCTTTAAGAACAAACTAAGCGATCTTTATGAACAAACTAACTGATCTTTAACAACAAACTAAGCGATTTTTAAGAATAAACTAAGCGATCTTTATGAACAAACTAAACGACCCTTAAGAACAAATAAAGCAATCATTAACAAAAACTGGACGATCTTAAACAACAAACTAAGTGATCTTTAAGAACAAACTAAATGATCTTTAACAACAAACCAGGCGATCTTTATGAACAAACTAACTTATCTTTAAGAAAAAATAAAGCGACCATTAATAAAAACTGGACGATCTTTAACAACAAACTAAGCAATCTTTAAGAACAAACTAAATGATCTTTAACAACAAACTAAACTATCTTTTACAGCAAACTAAACGATCTTTAACAACAAACTAAGTGATCTTTAACAACAAATTAAGCGATCTTTAAGAACAAATTAAGCGATCTTTAAGATTAAACTAAGCGATATTTTAGAACAATCTAAGCGATCTTTATGAACAAACTCACCGATCTTTAAGAACAATCTAACCAATCAATAACAACCAACTAAACGATCTTTACAGACAAATTAAGCGATCTTTTAGAACCACAAATTTTAGAAACCTGGTTTAAAAAAATAATATTTGCATTAATTTCCCCCCCCCCTCCCCCCAATTTTTGCCAAATTTTCTCCTACTATACTAATTTTAAAAAATTGTAAAGCAATTTAAATTACTTTTATATTAAAATGGTAAAATCCAAAGTATTCATTAGATCAAGGGTCTCAAACTCAAATCATCGGGGCGGTGGGGGGCGCAGAAGGTAGTGTCTGAATGAGAGTGGGCCGCATCACATAATCCACAAAAATGGGATTACAACTGTTACAATCTGCTCAACCTTTATAAATAACAATAAAATCATTAAGGGTTCTCAAGAACTAGGATTCACTTTCATCCACTTACTCACTGTTGCATACAAAAATATATAGAAACATTTTTTTTAAAAATCAGAATTAGACTAATCGACTAAACCGTCACGGAGAGTCCCGTTATAGATATGAGAATGGGGGAAACTGGTTGGCGCATTTACACTAAAATTTTCTGTCATGTAGCGGGCAGCAAAATATCGTCTTGCGGGTCACAAATGGCTCGCGGGCCGCGAGTTTGAGATGTTTATTTATAAATATTCACGATTATCTCATTTTTTTATAAAAAGAATGTAAATATTTATACTTTCCCACATCATTTTCAATGTATGCAGAATGTATGCGGGAACGAATTTCAAAATATCTTAATATTTCATTTTAGGTTTCGGCTTCAGCTTCGGTTTCGGCCGAAATTCATTTTAAACTTTCGGCCTATTTTTGGCTTGGGCCGAAATCAGAAAATCACTTTCGGTCGGTCTCTAGTCTAGATTATTTTATCATTGCTTACACAGTCATTGTTTTTAACATGGCTACTTCTTCCCATATTATCACTACTTTCTCCTTTAGTCTAGCTTGTATAATCACTACTTCCTCTCAAGAGTTCTGTTTCATATTATTGCTTTTCCAGTTTTTAAATTGAATTAGTCCTAATGAATTCTAGTTCCTATATTGTCCCAGTGTTTGTTCCCTACTTTGTAACAGTGTTTGGTCCAGTCCCCTACATTGTCCCAGTTTATTGTCTAGTTCCTACGTTATGACGGTGTTTGATCCAGCCTCTACATTGTCCCAGTTTATTGTCTAGCTCCTACGTTATCCCGGTGTTTGGTCCAGTCCCCTACATTGTCCCAGTTTATTGTCTAGTTCCTACGTTATGACGGTGTTTGATCCAGCCCCTACATTGTCCCAGTTTATTGTCTAGTTCCTACGTTATCCCGGTGTTTGGTCCAGTCCCCTACATTGTCCCAGTTTATTGTCAAGTTCCTACGTTATGACGGTGTTTGATCCAGCCCCTACATTGTCCCAGTTTATTGTCTAGCTCCTACGTTATCCCGGTGTTTGGTCCAGTCCCCTACATTGTCCCAGTTTATTGTCAAGTTCCTACGTTATGACGGTGTTTGGTCCAGTCCCATACATTGTCCCAGTTTCTTGTCCAGTTCCTACTTTATCCCGGTGTTTGGTCTCACTATTTGATTATCGTAGGAGAGGCCAGCACCTGTCAGATCAGCACCATCAGTCAATCCAGCGCAGCGCTATAATTCCGTTAGCTTATCGGTGAGCCAACAAGATGATAAAAATGTTGCCGATGACATGGACAAACAGGTAGATGAGACCCACCTGTCAAGCATGTTGACTATTTCAGGAATTATATTTATCTCATTGTTTAGTTCTGTTAAATTTTTCGTGGTCGTGACATTGATTTTCTTGAATTTTTTATTACATTTCTTCTTTTTGAAACATTCAGTTTGATGTTTTGAGAATTGGTTAGATATTTTGCATATGAGTATTGGATAAATTAAAACAGATTGCTGTTAGTGCCAAGACAAGTTTGGCATCAGCATTTTATGTTTGTTTGCTAGTTTACTGCCTCTTCTGCAAGAAGAGCTGGCTCACTGGTCTGACACGCCCAGGCCATTAGAACCTACCATCATGTCACTGAATAATAAATTATTGATTTCTGTTTGAATCATTTATTATTTGGTCTTTATCATATTTTTCCCCCCCTCTGTCCAGGTTGAGCAGCTGGAGACACAGACGAGACATATGCAACGGCAGCTCAATCTTCTGCTGGTCATCCAATTCCTCACAGCCTTCACCCTCATCATAGTCATGCTGGCCTACTCCTGCTTTGGGGAGGACCTCTTCACCAGGTTTCTTGCTCTGCCCTTTGATTTCTGCAACGACCCGTACGGCCGTAAATGTTGATCTCTATTGTCTGTGGTGAGTTTGATAACAAATGAGTACCCAGACCATAGTACCCAGACCAAAATACCCAGACCATAGTACTCAGACCATTAGTACCTGGACCAAAGTACCCATATCAACAAGTACTCAGACCAAATTACCCCAGACCATAGTACTCAGCCCAAAGTACCCAGGCCATAGTACCCAGACCATAGTACCCAGACCAAAGTACCCATATCAACAAGTACTCAGACCAAATTACCCCAGACCCTAGTACCCAGCCCATAGTACCCAGACCAAAGTACCCACATCAACAAGTACTCAGACCAAATTACCCCAGACTATAGTACCCAGACTATAGTACCCAGCCGAAAGTACCCTAGCGGCTGACGAGTTTCGGTTTTGTCACCAAAAGTTGCCATTTGATCACTTTCCGCATAGTTTCAGTTTTGGCCCAAAGTGAGTGAGGCTCCTTGCATTCTGACAGAAGTCAGACTGTATTTCTGTCTGCCAGCAATCCGATATTCATTATTGCTCGAAGTCTTCCTGTCTTCCTATGATATATGACTAATCCTCTGATTGCTCACAGTTGCTAGTTCAATATTTCCAAAAATAAAATTGCAATTAGGGTTAGGTAATGGTAGTAGTTGTGTTGAAAAAGAAAAAAAAACTATATGAATGGTAATATTTAGGTGAATAGTATTGTGGGAAAAAAAATTCCTAAGGAATACGTTAGTAAAATTTCCAATTATAATTTTTTTTTTTTTTAAATTTAAAAAAAATTAAAAATAGGGAACCTTAGGCTTATTCAATTCATTTATTTATCGACATTCATCATTGTCATGCTGATAAACGTTGTCATTAACAAAATAAAATGTTAAAATAATCCACAAAGCTAGTCATGTTTGGACACAAATGTAAAGAAAGAGAATAATGGAACCTTTAATAAGATTAAAAAATATAAGCATTTATTTCAATCTGTATAATTAGGCATAAAATAGCCTTTAATTTAAATCATAAGCTTACATAAACATGTGCATGTTTCAGTGTCTCATATAATAATTATGTAGTGGGCCTACTGTATTATCATGCTAAACACAGTTCAACATTCATTGACATTTTGATTAATCCGGGTCAAATCTAAAATTAGCCGCTAAATGGTAATTGTGGATAAATGAAAAATTTGAATGTCCTTCAATAAGAATGCATGTTTAAACAAAATGTATAGCAGAACAAAGATTTCCTTCAAGGCTTATGTGGGGACATTTTAGTTTAAGCTTTCAATTGATACCAAATATGTCTAGGTAGTGTTGTAATTATATTATAAAAGCAAATTGCACCTAAGGGTCTATTTTGAATGAATTTGTCCCCCGCCCCCCACTCTCCACCAAGTCAAAATTTTCACTTACCATACTAATTTAAAACACATTTTTAACAACTTTAAGATACTTATTAATGCAAATGGTAAAAGCCAAAGTACTCATTAGATGTTTATCTTTTAAAATGATCATCTCATTTTTATAAAAAAAGAATATAAATATTGATACTTTCTTCCATCATTTTCCAGTGTGCAGAACCTTTGCTCAAACAAGTTTCAAAATATCTAAATCTTTTGGTTTTGGCCGAAAGTCTTGTTAAGCTTTTGGTTTCTCCCGAAAGTCATTTGTAATTTTTCGATTGGTTTCGGTTTTGGCAGTCTCTAACCCAGACCAACATGTACCCAGACCAACATATACCCAGACCATAAGTTCCCAGACCAATATGTATCCAGACCAAAAAATATCCAGACCAATAAGTACCCAGGTTCTATACCAGAAGCTCTCAAACAAATGTTCTGTGACTTACAAACTTAAGATGCTTTGATTGTAAAATAATTCATTAGAACCTTTTTGAAATACGCAATAGCTATTTATAAACCACAGGGTATATTTTCTAACAGAAATTTTAAAATCTTCTTGAAGACGTAACACTTTTTCCCCTCCCCTTATAGCATAATAACATTTATTTGGACTTACAGTTTTAGCAAAGCCGTGGTCTGCCAACGTAGCACATAGTTTTCAAGTGATCAGCAAGTCAAAAAAATGTTTCCACTCTTTTACACTATTTCCATTAGCATCTTGCCTCTCTGTTGAAATAAATTATTGTAAAATATTTGGTCTCAGAAAAAAGGTAAAATATGTCATTCAAACATTACTTCTCCTCATTCTGATACTGTTCTCTTGTGAATAACTAAATCAGTTTGATTTCCCTTTTCAGAATTTATCCTAGTGCTAGGGACCTTGCCAGGTAAATTAAAATCATGAACTTAGTGACTCTACAGCTATTGACAAGACGCTTCCTACCAACCTCCAAGTGATGATAAGGACCTGGAGTTCATACTATCAGTTGAACCTAGTCTTCAGCCGAGTTCCTGATGAGACGTTAAAGTTATGGCAGTGTCGTCCCAAAACAAGTTGTTGTTTTTTTTAATTGCTCAATTACTTTGCTGCTTCTGTGTCTTAAGAACTACTCCCATCTCATGTGCTTTACGTGATGCCTTAAATTCTTACAAGTCATCTCATTTTAGCATGGATATAAGTCAGTAAAAATAGGCAAACACATTTTTTTGGTTCTTCTCTTGGTGAAATAAAGACAAACATTGACTTACTTTTCTATTTAAATTTAGAGTCAGGGCAACTTGTCAAAGGTGTTACAGATGTTGATCATGGCATTTCTTAATCTTTTCATGAAAATTTAATTTAGTAGGGTAATTAAGTTGAAGACACAAATTGCTCACATTTAAATCCCATTATTTTCAAGTGTTTTATATCAGATTGAAAGTCTTCTTTCAAAATGATCCAATCTAATCATTGTTATTATCAAGGGATTATTTTTTTAAGGGTTTAAAGATACATGACATGTTTTCACAGTACAGTGAATTTTTATAATATTTGCACTATTCAAATCACTGTCTAAATTATGAAAGTTTAATCTATAATCTGATTTATTTATACATTAAAAAAAAATGTTGCCCGCTGTAAAGCATGGAAAGTTTTGCTTCCTAAATAAGTTAGCAGCAGCAGTCTCTTTCTGTGCATTTTCTTTTGTTGTTGTGTAACAGAGCTGACTGTTACATCCCTGCATAAGGTTCTACTCCCAGTAATTTATCAACTTGGATTGCTGGTATCACAGATAAATTTTAATCAATTTTTTGTTATGTGGTGGTGTTTCAGGATTTTTCTCTGTACATTTTTTTTAAAAAGTGTATCTGCCAGCCCATTGCATCCTTGCTTTATTTATAAATTCTATTCACCAGCATTGAAACATCTCTTTCCCATTCATTTGTTTACTTTCAGAATTAGAGTTTTTAATACTTGGAGTCTATTAAATTAATCGAAGCAGTATGCAATAAAATTTAGCATTCAAATTTATTTATGTTTTCCAAAGTTTAACCGAAATCCACATTCAAAGTTAATGACATGTTCCACAATCAAACTTGTTTTTTAAAGATTTTTGTGTAAATTTCTTTTAATGTGTCCACTACCAAATCAACCAAGTGTAGACATGTTGTTAGAAAAATTTTCTGCCCATGAAAATTTCTGTTGCCCGCTCTCAAAAATGAACTACTGTCTCAAGTGACAATGTCCTGTTAAAAAAATTATTTTAACTATGTCCCATTTGCACATGAAACCCTCAGGTCTGATAATAAAAATCCAATCTAATTTTAGTATGTTCCCATTCAGATTGTTGAGCAGGGGGTAACGTTTTACTGCCTTTGGCAATTTGCTTGTTAAGATTTTGTAGTTACTATTATTAATTTTAGTCTGGTAGGTTAGTTCTTTTTAAAACTCATTCTTTAAAGAAATAAAAATTTGTATTTAATTTTGAAATAATTTATTTACCTCACAATGTGTGAAAATTGCAATACATATGGGTCTTGATCTTTGTGCCAAGGTTATACAATTAACTAACAATGTATTTTGTTGTTTTTTTTCCCCATCTCTAACTAGAACCTGCTAAGTTAAAAATCTTGCATAAATAAATTACTTATTAATATTATATTTCTTAATAATAATTACTGTGTCCACAGCTCAGTTCCCCAACTGCCTGCAGGTCTTGTGACTCCTTAGTGCGAAGATACCTTTTTTTTAAAAACAATTTTTACCAGTATATAAAAATGATGTACCCATGATCAGACAAATCAGTTATGGGAGCTCGTGATGTGGCATCCTAAGCTTCATTGTCACCAGTTAATAATCTTAACTGTATTCCTATTATTCGTATGAGCTTCACCTTTTATTTCTTCTTAAGTTTTCTAGTTTATCTGAAGAGTCTAGTTAAATGGTTTGACCTTCACTTTCTACTGATAATATTTAAAAAAAACAACAAAGAAACACATTTAGACTCCAGTATCATCAGACTTATGAAATGTCACGATTCTTTCATCTTTCTAAAGGGAGTATAGAATTGCTGTGTGCCCTTTGCAGGAGAAGTGGCAACACTGTTCTGAGATTTTCCTTTACTATTACTAGCATAAACATTTGACCACCTGAATCCACTTCCATCATCTTTCAGCTATTGATTTGTTGGGTGATTTTCAAAGCTGGAATCTGGCTGCAATAATGTGCCTTAAATTGTTTAAATAAGTGATTGCTTTGCAATCAAACTACTTTTGCTTTTAAAGCCTCTTATTTGCAGTATTTGCATTCATTTTCATTCACATGCAAACTTGTATGAAGTGACTTCCACTTGCTCAAAGCCTCTTTTTTCAAAGTGGCTCTATTTTCATTTGTTCTCATCATATAACTGTCCATTTGTAGTAATGAAATGACCAAGTACAGCTACTGGTGATTTTGGTAACATCTCATAAGCATGTGTCTCATTGTTGAAGAAAAACTTCATTCTTCTGCACAGAAGCTATTGCATTTAAAGGTGACTATTTAAAAGCATATCAATTTTCATAATTTTAGCAGTATGTCCCCATCTTTTCCCTCCCCTATCCCTTTATAGAAGCCCTCAGACTGTTTAAACAGATACGTCCA